CTCCAGCCTGCAGCAGGAAGCCTCAGTGGCTGTGCCAGGCAGCAAAGAGCCCAAGCCTTGGAGGAAGTGCCCTGGCCCCACAGTGGGACAGGGAGGTGCCGGCACTGGGACTGCTCTCATGGTCCCTTCCTGTTTTTCTTCTCCACAGCTTGAAGGCAAAGTTGATTTTGGCATCTGGAACCCTCTCCTTTATCCCAGATCGCTGTTCACCCCAGCCCTCCCCTTGCATCTGCCCTGGTCCAGTGAAAAGTCCTGTTTCCTCATGTCCAGAGCCAGTGCGTCCTCCCCTTGAGCACCTAGGAGTGCAGCACCCAGCACCCAGCATCTTTATTCCCTAAAACACAAAATTTGCTGCTTCCTTAGGGTCCCCAGGGCCCATGTGTCACATTTACAGGCTGCTGGGGCAGGGAGCTCAGCCATGGAGCATCCCAGCAGAAAGCTGCAGTGTGGGACGGCAGGACACTGTGATGGAATGCAGACCTCTTGCCTGATCTTGGTATCTCTAGCTGACAAATGTGTGGCATGTCCTGTCTCTAAAGCTTGCATTAGAGCGGAAAAGTGTCACCCTCCAGGGTCATGGATAGCAGGATACAATGATGAGGACCAGACCTCTGTTTCATGCCCTCAGGCTACCCTGGTCATCCAAACTGGTTGTCCCCACCACCTGGCCAGGCAAGTCCCAGATAAGGATGGGAACACAGGGCTTGGCATATGGGGACAGCAGATCTATGGGTCCCCTCTGCCTGTCATTTCTCATCTACCCACCTGAGCTTGCCTGCCCAATGCAGCTACACATTCCTTTGTAAACACACAAGGTTCTGGTGGTCTCTGCTTCCCCTAGCCAGCAGCAACTCACTTCTATTTGGAGCATGTCTGGACTCCATGAGAGTTTATAAGCAGGCAGGATATGGGGCCCAGAGCTGCAGTCTCACACGCTCTCCCATTTTATGGCTGCTGCACTCCTACATCTCAAGCAGGGGTCACCCTCTAAACCAGCACCTAATGCTGGGAAACTACTGAGCTCTTTGCAAACACTTAGAGCCACAGCTATGGGACATACATCACCTGTGTTTCCCCACATCTCTGGACAACCACTGCACTGATACCCACCACAGTGGCTGGAGAGTGGAATTCAGTGGTGATAGAAGGCTTCCAAGCACAAAATGCCATGCTGGGGACCAAGGAGAGACAAGGGTGACCGTGACCCATTAGTTGTGTGCTGGCTGGATTGGATGCTGGAGACCAGAATCCAGCAGGTGATGGCAGTGTGACACAGCTGGAGCTGTCAAGTTCTGGGATGCACCTGGGAGAGGGTATGTGGCTGCTAAGCCTAGAAGTCCATGCAGGATCTGGCTCCTTATATCTCCCCAGCTTGGTGACCTGCCTTACTTGGTCTGTTGAGAGCCTTGCTCTGGTCCAAGAAGAGCATCCCTCCAGTAGCACACCGTAGATAGAGGGCTGATCCCCACCTCCCCAGTCCAGGGTGACTGTGCTCACCAGGGACAGTGAAGGGCTGGGACCCCACAAAGCCAAGCATGAACAGCCCTCATGACCCCACACCCAG